ATCCTGAATCGTTTTACAAAAGTAATTTATTCAATAAATAAATGGACAGAGACCACAACCCCCCCAATGTTAGACCTAAAGTTACGCCCTTGGGGCTGCACCCTCTTTTGGTTCATTGGAGGCCCACTGCTGGTGGTGGGCCTCGCCCCCCTGCCCTCTGGTGGATTGTGCCATTGCCCGTCAGTGCGCTGGTGGCTCTCAGTGTCTGGGGTTGGGCGCTCGGGCATGTTGACTGCCTGGTGGGGCTTCTGTGTCCATGCCCGGATCTACTCCAGAGCTGTGGGTGCCGGCGGGATCTATGAACGCATTGCTGCTGGCCCCGGGGAATTACTGCATGGGGTCACTGTGGGGGCTCTCCCGGTTCTCTCCTGTGGTCCTCTCTGGGGGTGGGTGGGCGGTCCTTCATGCACTGGTGCCCCTGGGGGCTTCGTGCTTGGGTTCCCTCTCAGGGTCTTTGACTCTGGTCTTCCTCATATCTGCCTCGGGCCTTGAGGGTAGGGTCTGTGGTCCTCCACAGTCACTATTATATATTCCATTGGAGAAATCTTGTAGATACATGCTCACAACCACACACACACAGGTGTTCAGATCTTCCTATCTTCTGAACAAAAGTAGAGGTGCTGACCCAAGAAGGGCAGCCTGCCTTATTTGCATAATGAGGCAGAAATGCATAACGTAAAGTTAAAACAGGAGACAGAGAAATGTAAAAACATTACATGGAAATAAAAACACGTGTGGGGATAAAACAATGAAGAAATTAAATAAAAATATTTAAGAGACTCAAGTGCACCTACAAGTAAAAGGAAAAACAACAAACAAAAAAAAACGTGTTTTTGTTTTTTACAAAACAGTAAAATTTAAATTATGTGTTCAAATATATAGACTAATTTACTGGAACTAACCTGGAAAAATAAATATAAAAGTCAATTAAAATATAAAACAGGAGATAAAGATCTCTTTTTTTAATTTAATTCGTGCATTTTAAGTGTATTTATTTATTTATTTATTTATTTATTTGTGCTTTTATTTTTAGTTATGTCAGTTTGGGTCTTCCATACCCAGCAGCTATATAAACGGAAACCAGCTCTGAGCCGAGGACTGCGCAGACTTCGTGAGCACACATCAGCATCGAGGTAAGAAGAGTTTTTTCTGCACGACTCAGGGCTCCTCTGTTTTTACACTAAAACCCTACAGACTGAATGTTGTTTTAATTTAAATAACTGTGAGTAAAATCAGGTCCGGGTTTTCTGAGAGGCACAACAACAGAGGGTTCACGTCAGTTTTGATCTCCATCTTTACCTTCAAGGTTAATCGTGCTCTATCACTGGAGGAACAGTCAAACATGAATTAGCTGGATGTTTTTGCACCGTCCAGGTATTTRTTTGTTTTTCCAGAAAGCTCTTTAGGGCGCAGGAAGAGAGACCTGGCAGGGAATGCGTCATCATGACTGGATGAGAGGCTCGGTTAATGCYGTCGTTCACTAAACGAAATAAACTCGTAAGCTGCAGGTTTTTGCTCGACGCTGCACTGGAAAGAAATGACCGTATTTAATTCATTCATTTCAAGTCGTACGGATTACACTAACGTCACTCTGGCCTTAGTAGCTCGCAGAAGTAGATTAGCAGACTCCATTTTGTAGACCAGACATGTTAAGAAGCAGATCCATCAGGCCGGTCCGGTCGGTAATCCTCCTTTTTTTCACAATGAATGAATGAACGCGGTCCTCCTCGTCCATATTTTGATGAAACTACGTGCTTCTCGTCCTCATGATGAAGTCTGGCAGATGACGACGTTCAGATGTGAAAAAACCCACTTTGATGCCCAACAGGAGCATCATTTAAGGACTGGTGGACCTGTTTTTGCACATCATCGCAGGGCAGAAATAATGTGGGACAYGATTCTGCGCAGCTTGACTCAAATCTGTCCTTGTTTTCATCAGATTAGATATAACTTCATTCACCCTCCTGAGAAGATTGCTTCAGGGAAATAAAAAAAGGCATAAATACAGACAGTCGTGTGAAAATTCCTGCAAAGATCCCGAGAAATCCTGAGCTAGCTGATAGCTTCCAGCTAAAGATGCAGCCATGTCTGATGAAGGTCACCCTTCAGCTGATGAAGGGCACTGCAGGCCCACATCTGCTGCAGGGATGCTAATCAGCCCTCCATCTTTAATCTTAAACTCCTATATTTATTTATTTTAACCATGCTCTGCTTTTGCAAAGTCAGAAAACCGCTCCTCGTTTTGCTGAAGGTCACAGACTGCAGCATTTTTTTTYCCTCATTAGCATCCCAGAGCTGCTGCAAGCTAACCTTGTTAGAAAACACTAAGAGGATATTTGAGTAAACAATGAATGTGCATGTTTTACATGTCCAAATAAAACCCACRTGTAATGTTTTTAGTTACATTTGAGATGAAGATTTTATTGTTTCTGATGTTAAGTTGTGTGTTTGYGTGATTCGGTGCTCCTACAAGCTACGCTTCCTCTCATCCAAATTCTTCACATCAGACTTCATCTGAGGCTCACCTGCTCCCCTGACACCTGGCTGCAGCAGTCCTGTAAAACACAAACCATTAGAGTTGGGTTATGGYGATCATTATCATAAATTATACCCTGGTGTGAAAATGGTGGGCCTGGGGGTCTGTGGCGTGCTAATAATTAATGAGCATGAACATGCACCGAGCYAGAGAGAACCTGCAGAATGAGTTGATCTCTAATCACGTCCAACAGGTCAAAATAAATCAAATTAGAATTAAGATTCAAAAATAATCAGACTCTTAACATGGTCGTATCAAGTTTAAACCCAAAAGGAGTCCCACTCTGCAGCTGGGTGGTCCATGAAGCTGTCAGTCAGCACCACAGCAGCAGTAACGTGTCGTTTATTAATACTGACCTCGCTGAGCTGTGTTGTTTTTTTTTAGTGGAGGTGCAACAGACAGGTGTGTCTGAGCTGAGGTGGTCGGATCACACGTCCGTAACGTGGGGCGTCTCCTGAGATGTTTTAAGCCCCTGTTTAGTCGCAGTCTTGCTGAAATATGGTGCGTCACGTCACGTGACTCATACTGCAGCAGTGGGGTGGGGTGGGGTGGTCGTCACCTTGCGCTCTGTTCGTACGGACACGTGTCCAGGTCTGCCACAGTAATGTCAGAGGATACTTTGTCATCAGACAAAGGCTGCAGCGAAAATCTTTCATCTGAAAATGAAAAGGAAAATGATAAACTGCAGCCATGCAGGTGTTCTTTCACAGAAAGGTGTAGATWAATATTTCTCTGTTTGTCACTAGTGGCTCGTGAGAGTGAATATTATTAGTGGGGCCGACATGAATTTCCTGAATCAACAGGAATGTTACGATTTGCAGCACATTTTCTGTAGAGGAAGATGGACGTTGCTTTTTCAATCAGTTATTTGTTTCATTAAAAAAAAGTCAGTCTAATATTAAAATCAAAGAAACACCAGCAAAAACCTGAGAGTATTTTTTATATTAAATATGGTAAAATTTATCAGGTAGGTACACA